GGGTTCAGGCAATTCTCCTGCCTCAGCCTCCTGAGTAGCTGGGATTACAGGCATGCGCCACCATGCCCAGCTAATTTTTTGTATTTTTAGTAGAGACGGGGTTTCACCATGTTGCCCAGGATGGTCTCGATCTCTTGACCTCGTGATCCACCCGCCTCGGCCTCCCAAAGTGCTGGGATTACAGGCTTGAGCCACCGCGCCCGGCCTATATTTTTTGCTTTTTGGGTTGAAGGAGTGTGCAGGGGACAACTGAGATGCCTAAACATGCACCGTGCAAATAAATGTTTGCTATTTCTCAATTGCCTGTTACCACTTTTTACAAGCTCCACAGTTGGTACCTTGTTTGATAACAGCAAGTTTCCATCCACCTGAGGATGCCCAGTGTGCCTTTGCCTTGTTATTGCTTTGTTCGTTCTTGAAATTTACTGAAAATGGAGTAGTGAAGTCCTTTTTTCTCTTGTGTTAGACTAAATGAGTCTGAAAATCTTGAGGGTTTTATTTGGTTTTATCTGCTTTTAAGTCACCCGTATTAACCCAAAGTAAAGCAGAAAGACAGCATTTGTTCTTCCAGTTAGTGCTAGGCTTTGGGATAAAGACAGCCACAATGTCTTCCAGCCCTATCCTCATAGGTTGGCCTTGTAGAGGTCCTGGGACACCTTTGTCCCCTTGGTGACCTCCTTTACTGTGTGTGTTCTGAACTGTCTAATGACATCACAGGAGGAATTTTTCTGCATTGATGCAAGTGTGCCAAGAAGTATATGAGGTGCTGCTCTATTTTCTTTTCCTAAGACAGTGTTCTGACGGTGGATGCTTCTCCTGGCTTTACATACTGTAGTAGACACATTTGGCTTTCCAGCTTGTTAAGCAAGTTACCTAACCTGATTAGGCTCAGTTGCAATATCTGTCAAATGAGGAGAATGAGATCCACTTTATAGAGTTGGTTAGTGGGGATGAAATGAGGTAACACATGTAAGAACTTAGTGTAGTAGCTCACACACAACAACAGATGGTACATGAATGTTCCCAACCTACCCCTTCCAGGGAATGGCATTAGGAGAGAACCACTTGTTTTTGACCTTTTCAGTGATTCAAAATTTTCCTTTAAGTGAAGGAATGGGCTTTAGTCTTTGCACCCATAGTTTGGGTGGCAAGAAACACATTTTTTCCTGAGTTGGATGATGGTGGTGATAGGATTTGAAGTGGAGGATAATTTTTCATTCAGCTGTGAAGGTGAAACTCCCTAGATATGCCACTTGGCCTCTTACTTGATTTCAAACAAGATTATGATCCAACTGCTCTGCCTAGTGACTGTCTTAAGTCATGATTGAAGTAGAATGACCAGAAAAACAGACTAGTTATTCCACTTAATAGCAATACAGTATACTAATTATAGCTCAGGCCACATGTGGTGAAAGAGCAGATCTTGTTAGCTAATATTTAAATGTAAAGGTAGCTGCAGTTATCTATTTTAAACTACTTATACTTTGAAGCACTCCTTGTATGCTAAATATGTTTAGATACACATAGACATTTCCTAAAGAAAGTTGTGGCCAGTCATGACTTTTGTTAGAAATAGAGCAAGTAAGAATTGGCTGACAGATATCTGGGTGAAGATCAAGGGCAGAACGTTGAAAGCTGTCAGTCGATGAATGAAATGATAAGTATTTAGTGAGCTTTCATAGTGTTCTAGACACTATGACTAAGGACTGCACATGGTTCGTCTCAGTGAATCCTCATAGTTTGTGAAGTAGAGACAAGACCAAGTTCCTATTTTGCAGATGAAGTAAGTGAAGTTTGGGGGAGGTTTCTCACTCAAGATCACCCATCAAGAAGTTACAAAGCCAGACCGTGAAGCCTGTAGCCTCTTTCTGACTCCAGAACTCCATCTTTTTTTTTTTTTTTTGAGGTGGAGTTTCACTCTTGTTGCCCAGGCTGGAGTGCAATGGTGCAATCTTGGCTCGCCGCAACCTCCGCCTCCCAGGTTCAAGCAATTCTCCTGCCTCAGCCTCCTGAGTAGCTGGGATTACAGATATTCGCCACCATGCCCAGCTAATTTTGTATTTTTAGTAGACACAGGGTTTCTCCATGTTGGTCAGGCTAGTCTCCAACTTCCGACCTCAGGTGATCCGCCCGCCTTGGCCTCCCACAGTGCTGGGATTATAGGTGTGAGCCACTGTGTCCAGCCCAGAACGCCATCTTT